TTCTTTACTCTCTCCTCCATTATCTTCATCCTTCTCCTTCTCATCTTCTTTACTATCATCTTGATCGTTTGTTACTGGGTCAGTACCAGTAGCTCCTGATGGGGCCTTCTCTTCTTCTGTCTCCATTTTACTTTCATCTTTATCTTCTGTCTCCATTTTACTCTCGTCTTTATCTCCATTGTCTTCTTTCTCTCCTTTATTGTCCTTTTCAGTCTCAGGACCAGCTTCTTCATCTTCGTCTACTTTACTCTTCTTAGTAGGGCCACCACCAGCCTTTAAAATAATAAATATATCATTAATAAACTAGACGGATATTAAACTAAATGAATGTATATGTTCAATTATTGAGGCACTCCTCTCTCTCTCCCTCCTTCATTAAACTACATGTGTACATGTGTGATCACTTAATTTAATAAATACAGTTAATTAATAAGTATATAGTGATCTACTGTCACAAGTAGTACAGTTAATATAATAAAAATGGAGAATATTCTCCTAGTGAAATAGCCTGTACTATAGTATGTCGGAGCAACTTTAAAAATTCGTAAAAAATCCAAATTTGATCCAAATCAGCTCAAAATTTCTACACAACATAAGAACATATATATGTATCAAAAAATGTACTCAAAATGTAGAATTGTCTCCTTTTAAATTTCGGCTAAAATTTGGCCTGAGACCCTGCTCAAACTTTCCACACAACATAAAGACACAGGTACATGTACATGTATAATGATATGTAAAGGTGAATGCATTATGTGTAGTGCTGCTGTTAACCTTTTCAATTGATGACTTTCTCCTTTTCTTTGGCTCAGGAATAGGCTAGGGAAATAATAATAATAATAATAATAATAATAATAATAATAATAATAATAATAATAATAATAATAATAATAATAATAATAATAATAATAATGAATAATGATGAGCACATCTAACTAGCAGTACATGCTCTTAACTGTCAATACGTTTAAAGACAGAGACACATGTACTTCATTAATACATGTATATAATAATAATAATAATGATGATGATGATAATCTTACTATTCCATTGTCCACAGGTTTGGATAGGAAGGTCAGTATTCTTGCAATAATATCAGCTTTATTGCCGTGTTTATCAAGAGACAATAGCTCTAGCAGTGTATTTAAAATAGGAACAGTTAACCTGTGGAGAGAGAGAGAGAGGGAGAGAGAGAGAGAGAGATAGAGAGAGAGAGATTAAATAAAAGTGTGACATTAGATTTAAGAGAGGACACTACACCCAACTCTTGTCGATAGTCAGACGTCAGAGTGTTGGCCACAGTCGGTTGATGCTCCTAGTCTGCCTACCCGCCTAGGCTTCTTTCCTGGCTATCTACCTAGCATCCCGCCATTGACCCTCTTTTCACGACTCAGAGACACCAATTGTCGTCATACCATGTGACAATATAAACAAACTTTTACAATTACTGTGCTAGCATGAAGCCGTGGTGAACAGCAGGCTAGGCAGTCCAGTCTTGAGAACTGGAACTGGGGGTTAAAACGTTTTTAGTGGCCAAACTCTCACCTCCCTGCCTGCCTTAAAAAGCTGTTGTTACCAATATGGCTTGTACAGTTACATGTGTGCTGACACTAGATATACAGGGCCTATGCTTATTATCTAACACAACTGGGCTTACCACTACATACTGAAA